GTGCCGGTGCTAGTGGGTTCGAACGGACAACCACTAAGTTCAAGCACCGAGCGTGCGTCCACATTAGCGGAGCACTTCGCTTCTGTATTCGCAACTAACCAAACCTGCGCGCCAAGCTCTGCCGTCGCCGCACCGACGGAGCTAATCGACTTGATCTGCGACGTCGCGGAGGTACATGGGCTAGTCAGCTGCCTAGACAGCACGAAGCCAGCTGGACCGGATGGTCTCCATCCGTCGATCCTCAAGTCCTTGTCAGCTGTGATCTCACCTGCTGTAACCGACCTGTTCAACCGATCCCTGTCCATAGGCTGCGTGCCTTGTGACTGGAAATGCGCCGTTGTCAAACTGATTTCAAAAGGCGGTGACACACGCAAAGTGGAGAATTACCGCCCTATTTGTTTGACCGCAGTATTGTCGAAAGTTCTGGAGAAGATTGTGAAGAAGAGACTGCTCCAGCTACTGGAGACCAACTCTCTCCTGACGCCTGCACAGCATGGTTTCGTGAGAGGCCGCTCGTGCATCACTAACCTGCTGCTAACATGGCATGGATGGTTGCAAGCAGTAAACCAACGTAAGTCAGTCGACGTGGTATACGTCGATTTCAGTAAGGCCTTCGACAGAGTGAATCACGAGATCCTCCTTCAGAAACTGAGGGAGTGCGGAGTCGGAGGCTCGCTGCACCAATGGATCCGTGACTTCTTAGTTGGACGGAAGTGGAGGGTGCAAGTCGACAGCCACCTGACCGACTGGTACCCGTCGACGAGCGGCGTTTCTCTGGGGACGGTGCTTGGCCCCATCCTCTTCCTGATTCACATCAACGACGTGCCCAATCTCCTTCGGTCGCCGTGTGCCTTGTTCGCGGATGACCTGAAGCTATGGAGGGTGATCCATACGTCGGACGACTTTGACATACTTCAGCAGGACCTCGACCGCCTCTCCATGTGGTCCGCCGAAGTAAGTTTGCCTATCAACTCGGCAAAATCGCTACTTCTGTGCCTCGGTAAAGGTGGAGCGGGCCGATCGTACACTCTCGACGGCCAAGTTCTACACCCGACGCATTGCGTCAGAGACCTTGGCGTTATACAACGTTACGACATGAAGTCACTGGACAACACGGACAATACGTATCGCACAGCATTGCGTTCGCTGTGGGCGCTGAAACGTAGCTTCTGCACCTGGTCGAAAGAGATTGCCACTCGTCTCTTCACATCCATTGTACGACCGGTGCTAGAATACGGCTCACCCGCCTACTGTCCGTTGACGAAAGGCGAGATACACAAGCTCGAAAAAGTACAACACATAGCCACACGGCTCATTCCCGGTCTTCAGGGTGTGCGGTATGAAGAAAGATGCAGACAATTGGGTCTGTATACTCTAGCCTACCGCCGCGTGCGAGTGGACCTCATCATGACCCATCGGGTATTGCATCTGGGTGCTTATCCGATGCTGAGGCCACTGCTCCATGTCCGTGCGTCAAGCAGCACACGAGGTCACCAGTACAAACTGGTAGTCCCTGACCTCAAGTGGGTAGCTCATCCCTTGTGTCTTGAGCGGCGAGTGGTGAACATGTGGAACCGTTTGCCCTCGCGGATAGTAGAAGCGAACTCGGTGTCGGAATTCAAACGATTCCTGGACGCGCACTTTGCGGTTGCCAGATTCGACGAAGCCTTCACAGGAAACTGACGAAGGAATCGTTCAATGATTATAACCCATGGAGCCCGTTAATCCACCAACTGCAGCTTCCGAAACGATGCCCATCCGTAATAGGCGGCGGAGCTGGTGAAGGACTCCATGTGGTTCATCCAAGAATATATGGTAAGTACATGGAGATTTTTTCTATGCTAGTAAATATTTTACTATTTTACTTTTTTCACCTGGGCTAGCTCACTACTACAGGTAACACTGTGTCAGTGGGACATGTCCTACATTGAGATATAGCTACATAGATGTTCAACTTCTTTCTCGCTATCATGACAGTCAAGTCAAGTCAAGTCAAGCGAGTAGTCCAGGAGCTCTATTCCTTATGGAACAACGGTTGACTACAAAATAGCATTACGTGGATACGGAAGCCCCGTGGGAGAAAAATTATTGCGAAAAGTGAATTGCATGACAACGTGAGAACCGTTTTGGTGGCCTCACCACAGACTTCAGTACAATAGCGGAGATGTTGGAGTAATAAACATACAAATGCACTGTAGGGCTTAAGGTTTTGGGGAAAGACTGAGGGTTAAGTGGACCAAAGGCTATGCTGTGACACATTCTGTGCAGCCGGCAACATGTAACAGTTACGGGCGTCCAGCTCATATGAGTTGTCATTCACGTCCATTGCCTACGATAGGACGTATTTTATATTTTCAGTGAAGTCGGGAACATCTAGTACTTGCCACCCGCCAGCTTATTAGAGTAGACAATCAGTACCGTCGCATATGGAAGCATTGCTGTGCCACCTTCTGTGCAGCCAGCAACCACTAACACATACGAGCCGCCCGCTTATGTGAATAGTCAGTGACCTCTTTCGCATATCTTAGCATCGCTGAGACATCCTCAGTAGAGTTGGAATCGTGCAATAATTACCGGCCACCAGCATATGTTAGCCGCCATTTACCTCCCTTCCATATAAATAAAAAAATAGCTATATTCCCTTTCAACTATTAAGTGTAGTGCCGATGGTGCCATAGTTATGGCCCCCAGAGTAAATGAGCAGTCAGTCAGCTATACTGCATATGCTAGCATCGCTGCTACAACTTAATTAGAGTTGCGATCCTCTGATAATTACCGGCCATCAGGTTACATCAGGGTTCCCTAAGCTGTATTGCGTATAAATAAATATGTATATATAATTATACTCTATTTTGTATAATGAGTGCAGTGCAGATGATCTCAAACTTATGGCCTCCAGACTAAATAAGCAGTCAGAAAGCTCTACTGCATATGTTAGCATGGCTGCGACAGCTTCCGTAGAGTTACGATCCTCAGATAATTACCTGTCATCTGGGTACATAAGCATTCCTTTAGCTATATTGCATATAAATAAAAATGCATATATTCCCTTTTACTTATTAAGTGCCGTGGCGACGATCTCATATTTACGGCCCGCAGACTATAAAGTAGTCAATCAGCTCTATTGCATATGCTAGCATTGCTGTGACAACTTAACTAGAGTCGAGATCCTCCGATAATTAACGGCCAACCCCTTATGCATCAGCCCTTGCATATACATAAATTCATAAATACATTCCCTTAGAAATATTACGTGCAGTGGTGCCATTTAGCACTTACAGGCACACAGCTTATATGAGCAGTCAGTCAGATCCATTGCATATGTTAGCATTGCTGTGACACCTTCTGTGAAGTAAGCAACCTATAACACTTCACAGCGGTCAGCATATTGCAGTTGCCAGTTAACTCTATTGCACATTGCAACATTACCGTTAGACAGTATATGAAGCAAGCAACATATTTTAATTACTGCCAACTAAGACCGAGGACCGAGTCCGAATGAGGCAAGCTGTCTGCGGGCTGCGAACTCGACGCGCAAACGGAGAAACAAATCTACACATAGTGGATTTTCGCGTAGTCAAGAAACTCAGAGAGCTCGATGGAGGCCAGTCCTCCTTCGTCCAGGAACTTAACCATAAAGAACCGACTACGGGTTATACTCGCGCATGTGCGCAGTCTCAGAAACCAGCTACAGCGGCATGACTCCCCCGGATGGTAACCCACGCTGCTTGGCGGCCGCTGGATACGACTTGGAGCATACCCCTTGGCAGCCTAGTGGGTGGCTCTACGAACGACGATTATGCGTCCTTCGTTATCTAAGACAACGGAGCCCCATTCTCAGTGGCAGTTAGTTTATTTTGTATTCCAGGCTCCACCATAGAGTGACACAGACAAGGGTAGGTCATGTTCGTTCTGTGGTACGTATGGACACATAATAACCCTCGCCTTTTGTATCCCCATGTCTTTTCATGGTCCCTCGCAGCTGTCCTCTGGAAGCGACAAGAATGGAACCCGTCAGCAGGTACGTTCAGTATTCATTTCCCATTTCTATTGCCATTGCATGGAATATAGCCCGGACCTCAGTGATCCACTGTGTTGACGCGACAAACCTATACTGTCCTCAACAACAGCGTGAGCACTTTGAATGGGCCTGAACAACACTTCCCTTTGTAACCTTCCCCTTCATCCCTGATTATATGGACAGTGTATTGCTGTTGCAAATGCGGTGCAACCGGCGAAAGCGTTTCTTTGCTAGTGTTCTGCTTATTGAGTAGTTACTTAACTGCAAGCATGTGCTTGCACGGCTGTTACGCAAGCTGCGGACCGGGCAGCATTTAATAATCACCGTGGCCAACGTTATATATGTAGTCCGATAGCACCATTGCCTATGGTAGCATGCCTTTCACTTCGTCAGTGGAGTCGGGTACTAATAATATGTACCGATCGCCAGGTTATTAGAGTAGTCAGTCAGTACAGTACAGTCTTTCGGGCGGACAGGAACCTCTCACACTTAAGAGTGGCGAGCTCATGTGGGTAGTCAGTGACATGCATTGCATATGTCAGCATCGCTGTGATATTCTAAGTGCAATCGGGAACATCGATAAATTACTGGCGTCCACGTTATATGAGTTGATAGTTACCTCTATAGCATATCGTAGCATGCCTGGGACGTCTTAAGTGCAGTCGGGATTACGTAATAACAACCCGCCGCAAGCTCATATCATTGACGACTTAGCTCCATCGCACTTGGAGGCATTGCTGTCACATTTTCCGTTAAGCCAGCAGCGTACGATATTTAACAGCGGCGAACCAAACTGAGCAGTCGTTTAAGTTGACTGCATATGGTAGCATCGCTGTGCCTTCTTATTCAGAACAGGGAACATCCATTGCTTAACGGCGGCCTGCTTATATATACAGTCCATCAGCTCCATTGCATACGGTAACGTTGCCGTGACACATTCTATCTAACAAGCGACATCTCATAATTACTGGCGCCCAATGTCTGCGGATAACGACGTCCGGTGGCTCGTTCCCATTCTTGCTATACGTTTGTCTTACAAGTGAAATACGCTTGAATACCGGTGTTTCAACGCACATTGGTAATAGAATTTGACGTCTGTCAAATTCCTTCACACATCCAAGGTGATTTGGATAGCGACACCTATCCACAAGACATCAAGCATAACGAGCAAGGTCCAGCGAGCTGCGACCTCCCGTGCGTCTAGCACTTTGGACGCTACTCTCGACAAAACGAGAGCAGCAGCAGCATCTAAGTGCCTGAGCGGCAGCAGAAATGTCACTTCTCGGTCTAAAGCGCTGCAGTGCGGTCTGTGCGAAGGATGGGCCCACACAACGTGCAGCGGCATTGAGCACGATCTTTATGAATGCCTGAAAAGAACGGCATCTTCCGCGCTAACATTCCACTGTGACAAATGCCGACTTAATGTTAACGATAAGTCCCTTCTGGCGAATCTGACTTTGGCGAAAAAGACAGATAATAACGCCGCATTGATGACGCCCGTACTACCGCCCGTGACTCCTCCATGCATCCATACTGTGCGCGATCGAAGCCGCTCCTCCTCCGCTTCATCAGCGGACACACCAATGCATAGTTCACAAGACAACCGAAAAAAGCCGTCTGTCGGCACTCCAACTGCAACTGCGACCTACGCAGCCGTGGCCAGCGCTGGCGCCGCAAAACCACCCGGCTGGGTCCAGGCCCCTAAAAAGAAAAGTTGTAAGACGGTAAACAACAACAAATCGAAATCACCGTCTACAGTGTCACAACTAAAGTCTGTGCTAAACAAGGTAACACGACTTGAGAAATTGCTAGCCGAGAAACCGGCCTTACCGAAACCGGTGAAGCCAAGCGATTGTAAGTCACCACGGGGACGGCTATGCAACGTCATGATTTTCCACGCACCTGAGTCGACTGATCCCAGTCCCCAGGTACGCTATGACCATGATGTGCAATTCTTGCAGTCTCTAACCGACAAACTACTGGATGTTGGCGAACCCGGGTTACGAGTGAAACAAGTCACTCGTCTGGGGAAACAAGTTGATGGCAAGTGTCGGCCTCTGCGCATCGCGTTCGCCGACGAAACTGCCCCAAGGTTAGTACTGTCCCGCCTCGGTCGCCTAAAGGGGATGAAAATCCATGTCCGGCCAGACCTTGATCCCGCAGAACGAGAGCAGCTGAAGTCTGCCGTGATCGAACTGAAACGACGCACGGACGCCGGTGAAACTAACCTGCGTATCGTAAATTTTCGCACAGTTGCCCGGATACCCCGAATCCGGGTAAACAGAGCAATGACGCTTCAAGCTCGCCCAGCGGTTCCTACCGCGGATTGCGTGTAGCGTTCATTAATGTATGCAGCTTAATGAACAAGCACGATGATCTGATCCGCTTCATTGCTTCACGTCGGCCAGATGTGGTTGGTTTGGCTGAGACGTGGTTGACATCTGAAGTGACAAGCGAAGAAATTGCGATCACGGACTATTCGTGCTTCCGCTGTGATCGACAGTCGAATAGCCGCGGTGGCGTCCTACTTTACCTCCGGTCTACCCTGTGCGGGAGACTCGTGAGCACCTACCGAAGCATTGACGGTCTGTGTGAGCAGCTGTGGTGTTCGATCCACCTACGACGCGGCGAACTGCTTGTGGGTGTGGCATATCGTAGCCCACTGAGTAACGGATTGGATTGGCTCACACACGTCCAAAACCAAATGAGTCGCCCGCAGTTCCTGCTCACTGGCGACTTTAACCTTCCTCGAATCTTATGGCCTGAAGTTCAGTTTCTCCCTGGGCATAATGAAGTGGAGACAAGATTCGCCGAACTGGTACTGGAAACCGAAACGGTGCAGCACATCACGCAACCCACCCGCATAACCCCGCGCTCAATGCCATCATGCCTGGACCTGCTGCTAACCAGCTGCGAACAAACAGTGCATGACATAGAAGTTCTTAAGCCCATGGCGGCCAGTGCTCACTCGACAATTATGGCCACTATAGACCTGCAGCTTCCATGTGTGCGTCCAGTGGCGCCAACATACAACTATTGGAAAGCTGACTTCGATGGCCTCATTCTAGCTGCCAATCAGCTTGATTGGTCTATGCCACAGGATTCATCCGTTGAAACTTGCTGGGCAAACATTAAAGGGGCAGTGCACTCATTGTGTGCGCAATTTGTACCCCTCAAGACTCGGAAAGTTGGACCAATGAAACCCCATTGGTTTGACAAAGAGTATAACCGACTGTCTCGACAACGGCGTCGACTATGGAATGCGTTCCTCCTGTCTGGCTCTGCCGATGACTATGAGGCATACAAGCGACAACGAAACTTGTGCAACAGCACAAAGACGCGAAAACGCCGTCAGTTTGAGGAGCAGCTTGCTTGCTCAGCTAAAACTGCCCCGAAGCGCATATTTGCGTACGTGAAGCAACGCCTGAAGTCTGCAGGTGATGTGCCGGTGCTAGTGGGTTCGAACGGACAACCACTAAGTTCAAACACCGAGCGTGCGTCCGCATTAGCGGCGCACTTCGCTTCTGTATTCGCAACTAACCAAACCTGCGCGCCAAGCTCTGCCGTCGCCGCACCGACTGAGCTAACCGACTTGATCTGCGACGTCGCGGAGGTACATGGGCTAGTCAGCTGCCTAGACAGCACGAAGCCAGCTGGACCGGATGGTCTCCATCCGCTGATCCTGAAGTCCTTGTCAGCTGTGATCTCACCTGCTGTAACCGACCTGTTCAACCGATCCCTGTCCATAGGCTGCGTGCCTTGTGACTGGAAATGCGCCGTTGTCAAACTGATTTCAAAAGGCGGTGACACACGCAAAGTGGAGAATTACCGCCCTATTTGTTTGACCGCAGTATTGTCGAAAGTTCTGGAGAAGATTGTGAAGAAGAGACTGCTCCAGCTACTGGAGACCAACTCTCTCCTGACGCCTGCACAGCATGGTTTCGTGAGAGGCCGCTCGTGCATCACTAACCTGCTGCTAACATGGCATGAATGGTTGCAAGCAGTAAACCAACGTAAGTCAGTCGACGTGGTATACGTCGATTTCAGTAAGGCCTTCGACAGAGTGAATCACGAGATCCTCCTTCAGAAACTGAGGGAGTGCGGAGTCGGAGGCTCGCTGCACCAATGGATCCGTGACTTCTTAGTTGGACGGAAGTGGAGGGTGCAAGTCGACAGCCACCTGACCGACTGGTACCCGTCGACGAGCGGCGTTCCTCAGGGGACGGTGCTTGGCCCCATTCTCTTCCTGATTCACATCAACGACGTGCCCAATCTCCTTCGGTCGCCGTGTGCCTTGTTCGCGGATGACCTGAAGCTATGGAGGGTGATCCATACGTCGGACGACTTTGACATACTTCAGCAGGACCTCGACCGCCTCTCCATGTGGTCCGCCGAAGTAAGTTTGCCTATCAACTCGGCAAAATCGCTACTTCTGTGCCTCGGTAAAGGTGGAGCGGGCCGATCGTACACTCTCGACGGCCAAGTTCTACACCCGACGCATTGCGTCAGAGACCTTGGCGTTATACAACGTTACGACATGAAGTCACTGGACAACACGGACAATATGTATCGCACAGCATTGCGTTCGCTGTGGGCGCTGAAACGTAGCTTCTGCACCTGGTCGAAAGAGATTGCCACTCGTCTCTTCACATCCATTGTACGACCGGTGCTAGAATACGGCTCACCCGCCTACTGTCCGTTGACGAAAGGCGAGATACACAAGCTCGAAAGAGTACAACACATAGCCACACGGCTCATTCCCGGTCTTCAGGGTGTGCCGTATGAAGAAAGATGCAGACAATTGGGTCTGTATACTCTAGCCTACCGCCGCGTGCGAGTGGACCTCATCATGACCCATCGGGTATTGCATCTGGGTGCTTATCCGATGCTGAGGCCACTGCTCCATGTCCGTGCGTCAAGCAGCACACGAGGTCACCAGTACAAACTGGTAGTCCCTGACCTCAAGTGGGTAGCTCATCCCTTGTGTCTTGAGCGGCGAGTGGTGAACATGTGGAACCGTTTGCCCTCGCGGATAGTAGAAGCGAACTCGGTGTCGGAATTCAAACGATTCCTGGACGCGCACTTTGCGGATGCCAGATTCGACGAAGCCTTCACAGGAAACTGACGAAGGAATCGTTCAATGATTATAACCCATGGAGCCCGTTAATCCACCAACTGCAGCTTCCGAAACGATGCCCATCCGTAATAGGCGGCGGAGCTGGTGAAGGACTCCATGTGGTTCATCCAAGAATATATCGTAAGTACATGGAGATTTTTTCTATGCTTGTAAATATTTTACTATTTTACTTTTTTCACCTGGGCTAGCTCACTACTACAGGTAACACTGTGGCAGTGGGACATGTCCTACATTGAGATATAGCTACATAAATTTTCAGCATCTTTCTCGCTATCATGACAGTCAAGTCAAGTCAAGTCAAGCGAGTAGTCCAGGAGCTCTATTCCTTATGGAACAACGGTTAACTACAAAATAGCATTACGTGGATGCGGAAGCCCCGTGGGAGAAAAATTATTGCGAAAAGTGATTTGCATGACAACGTGAGAACCGTTTTGGTGGCCTCACCACAGACTTCAGTACAATAGCGGAGATGTTGGAGTAATAAACATACAAATGCACTGTAGGGCTTAAGGTTTTGGGGAAAGACTGAGGGTTAAGTGGACCAAAGGCTATGCTGTGACACATTCTGTGCAGCCGGCAACATGTAACAGTTACGGGCGTCCAGCTCATATGAGTTGTCATTCACGTCCATTGCCTACGATAGGACGTATTTTATATTTTCAGTGAAGTCGGGAACATCTAGTACTTGCCACCCGCCAGCTTATTAGAGTAGACAATCAGTACCGTCGCATATGGAAGCATTGCTGTGCCACCTTCTGTGCAGCCAGCAACCACTAACACATACGAGCCGCCCGCTTATGTGAATAGTCAGTGACCTCTTTCGCATATCTTAGCATCGCTGAGATATCCTCAGTAGAGTTGGAATCGTGCAATAATTACCGGCCACCAGCATATGTTAGCCGCCATTTACCTCCCTTCCATATAAATAAAAAAATAGCTATATTCCCTTTCAACTATTAAGTGTAGTGCCGATGGTGCCATAGTTATGGCCCCCAGAGTAAATGAGCAGTCAGTCAGCTATACTGCATATGTTAGCATCGCTGCTACAACTTAATTAGAGTTGCGATCCTCTGATAATTACCGGCCATCAGGTTACATCAGGGTTCCCTAAGCTGTATTGCGTATAAATAAATATGTATATATAATTATACTCTATTTTGTATAATGAGTGCAGTGCAGATGATCTCAAACTTATGGCCTCCAGACTAAATAAGCAGTCAGAAAGCTCTACTGCATATGTTAGCATGGCTGCGACAGCTTCCGTAGAGTTACGATCCTCAGATAATTACCTGTCATCTGGGTACATAAGCATTCCTTTAGCTATATTGCATATAAATAAAAATGCATATATTCCCTTTTACTTATTAAGTGCCGTGGCGACGATCTCATACTTACGGCCCGCAGACTATAAAGTAGTCAATCAGCTCTATTGCATATGCTAGCATTGCTGTGACAACTTAACTAGAGTCGAGATCCTCCGATAATTAACGGCCAACCCCTTATGCATCAGCCCTTGCATATACATAAATTCATAAATACATTCCCTTAGAAATATTACGTGCAGTGGTGCCATTTAGCACTTACAGGCACACAGCTTATATGAGCAGTCAGTCAGATCCATTGCATATGTTAGCATTGCTGTGACACCTTCTGTGAAGTAAGCAAACTATAACACTTCACAGCGGTCAGCATATTGCAGTTGCCAGTTAACTCTATTGCACATTGCAACATTACCGTTAGACAGTATATGAAGCAAGCAACATATTTTAATTACTGCCAACTAAGACCGAGGACCGAGTCCGAATGAGGCAAGCTGTCTGCGGGCTGCGAACTCGACGCGCAAACGGAGAAACAAATCTACACATAGTGGATTTTCGCGTAGTCAAGAAACTCAGAGAGCTCGATGGAGGCCAGTCCTCCTTCGTCCAGGAACTTAACCATAAAGAACCGACTACGGGTTATACTCGCGCATGTGCGCAGTCTCAGAAACCAGCTAGATGGGATTCCACTCTTTATCTATGAACAGCAACCGGACCTAATGGCATTCACCGAAACCTGGCTTTCATCTGACATATCTGACTCGGAGGCTCATGTTTCAGGATATCAGCTACTTCGATGCGATCGCTTTGGTGGGAGGTCTGGAGGCGGAGTAATCCTCTACACAAAGAACTACCTCAAGGCCCACATTGTCGAACCCGATTGTGACAAGGATGATATGTCGGAAATGCTCTGGTGCCGAATTCATGACGGTCGGGGTGGTCTACAGAGTCCCTGCAGCACCTGGCTCACACTTGCTACGTTCCGTGCGAACCAACAGCAAAGGAACAAATTGCTTCTTTATGGGGGACTTCAACACCTCCAACGTGATCTGGGACCTACTTCACAGTGATCTCTCACCTGACTCCTTTGAAGTTGTTCTCCTTGATACCGTTCATGAGTGCAACCTGACACAGCATGTCCTGACACCAACGCGAATGATCCCTGGTCAGACACCAAACATTCTCGACCTGGTTCTCACCTCGACACCATCTGATGTCTCAGATCCAGCGATCCTCCAACCTCTTGGGACGAGTGATCACTGTACAGTCTCCTTTCCGTGGACACGACGCCTCACAATCCACGATCAGGGGACACTGCGTCGAAATTTCTGGCGTACTGACCGGCCCAGGTTAAGGACGACTGCAAGTAACATGGACTGGAGTATCCCGCAATCCTTGGAGCTTGATGACGCATGGAAATGCCTACGAGCTATGATGATGCGGCTCGTTGAACTGTTTGTTCCAAGCTGCAAGAGCAGACCACCATCCAAAGGACCCCCATGGATTGAAAAAGAAGGAAGATCCCTAATGAATAAAGGTCGAAAACTATGGGATCATTACAAAAGCACAGGACAGACATCAAGCTACTTAGAGTACAAAACTGTCAGAAACCTATGCACCCTGAGAAAATGAGACAAAAGTCTACAATATGAACATAGACTGGCCATGGACTCCCAAAACTGTCCCAGGAAACTTTTTGCCTACTTGAAGCGAAATGCCAAAACTGGTAGTGGAATCCCCGCTCTATCCTCTTTTAAGGAAGGTACCGTCCTCTACGGTGATGATGAAAAAGCAAATCTCCTAACTGCGCAATATTTCTCGGTCTACTCAGTGGAGTCACCATTGCTCAACAACTGTTTGCCTGCACACCACTCCTCTATGGACGAAGTTGAAATTAACCCCGAAGTGGTCACTAAGCTACTTCTCGAACTGGACCCGAACTCCTCCCAAGGCCCAGACGGATTGCATCCCAGCTTCATCAGAACGATAGCTGAGTACGTCGCCGCCCCTCACTGCCACGTGTTTCGGCAATCCCACGAAGTCGGCTGCCTACCCACAGGCTGGAAAGCAGGCACCGTCCTGCCCAAATACAAGGCGGAAACAAACAAGACCCGGCCAACTACCGGCCAATATGTCTGACGTCAGTCGTATGCAAAACCATGGAACGGATAGTCAAGTGCGCTCTCCAGCTACACTGTGAGCATCTAAAGCTCAACTCACCTGCTTAACATGGCTTCCGGAGAGCAAGCTCACGCATCACTAACTTACTCATCGCCAGGAAAACATGGGCAGAAGCCATAGATACACGAAAACAGGTTGACGTAATATTCATTGACTCTAGCAAAGCCTTTGAATATGTTCCACAAGTACGACTGCTACATAAAATCCAGGGAATTTGCATTACAGGAAATTTTCTCTCCTGGATTACCGATTTCTTAAGGGATAGGACAATGCGCGTACAAGTGAACCAAACCCTCTCTGCTCCAGTGCCCAGGACTAGTGGCACTCCCCAAGGATCAGTGCTTGGACCAAAGCTCTTCAAACTATACATTAACGATCTACCGGCTGCGCTACAAACCGACTGCTTGATCTACGCCGATGACCTCAAGCTTTGGTCAACAGCATCTAGCATTGAGGATGCGGACAGATTACAAGGTGCTCTAGACCAGCTACACGAATGGTCCATCAAGTGGGAACTGCCAGTAAACCGAGCTAAATGCGCGGTTCTCCCAAAGGGTGGCACCGAACCTTACGGTGCATACCACATTGGTGGGTTTCTCCTTAGGAATATCACCCACGAGAGAGATCTCGGGGTTATCGTGACTTCTGACCTTAGAACGACGCAGGACACGTTAAAGAAGGTGGCCACTGGAAGGAGACTGGTAGGTGTTTTAAGAAGATCATTCGCTCGAATGACTCCCGAGATTTTTCGACCGTTGTTCACTTCGTACGTCCGTCTAGTCTTAGAATATGGCCTACCAGCTAGCCATCCGCTTTCAAAGTTTGAATGCGCTGTGCTGGAAATGGTTCAGATACGCGCATCAAAAGCTGTTCTGGGGCTTCGTAATCTCCCGTACCCCATTCGACTCTAGAAGCTAAATCTGTTCTCCCTCGAGCTCCGCCGTCGCCGGGGTGACCTCATCTACACTAGGCGCATCCTCCGAGGGGATCTTGGAAATGAGTTACAACAATTCTTCCGGCCCAACACTGACTGTTCCACCCGAGGGCACACATGGAAGCTGTTTAAGCAAAGAAGACACAAAATTCGCAAGGACGTCACCCTATCCACTAGAGTGGTGAATGACTGGAACAGCTTACCGGAAGCAATTGCAGACGCTCCATCTGAGGAAAGTTTCAAGCGGCTGCTAGACAAACATTCACTGAGAATGCTGGAATCTTGCGGCTGTCACTGCAATTACGACGAACCCTCGAGGAAGGTCGTAACGCAACGACACGCATCAAACCCAGTATGACACGGAATCGATGGGGCTGACAAGGGATTTCCATCCTGCTCTCTACAACTCAATGAGCTCAATGAACAATGATAGTTTTATGTAATGCGTCTACTGAAGCACATAGTCGCCTCGTTTTTCATTTGTGGTCCGACGGTAACAATTGCAAAACACTTTGCAGACATTGAAAAATATTTACAGTCTACAGGCTATTTATCTACCTAATTAATTTTAAAAGCGCTTTCCCCCATAAAATAGGCTGTAGCAAAACTCATTATTTTACCGCATAAAATGCAACTAAGCGTATCTATATATAGACTGATTATACAGCTCTCGCCTTCCCCTTGCATATTCACGTTTTTTTCACATAGACGGACGCTACCGCATTAACACAGCATCTTTTACTGCACGCAAATTGCTTGCAAATGTCCTAACCATTGAGTCTACCATTAACGCCCGCTAAACAAACGACGATTACAGCATCCACATTTCGTATTGACGCTCATTATGTGCCCTT